GGTATTAGAAAACCCATAGTAAAGCAACTTAATTCGCTACACTTCATTTTGAGCCAAACAAGCAATGCCACATTACTCAACTGCAAGTCAATAGAATAATCTATTACAAATTTCCTAGAATTTGCATCTGGAGACCCACTTAAGCAGTGCTTGATAAATTGATATTACCGCCACATATTATCCAATCATGTCACCAGTTCCCCGTATCCCAACTGTCGAATCCGACTGTCGTGCATCATGAAAAAACGCAGTAGATCGTGAAAAGTGGTCAATAGCATCGTAACGCTTTTCAGCGCACAATCCCGACCGAAATAGGCTGTTTAGTTCCATGGAGGGTTTAAAGACTTCAGAGGATTCTTTTCGGTCACTACATTTTAAACGTGCAAGTGATGTGAGCATTAGTGGTGAATTGGTTGATACTACTCAAACGCTGTTCCAATCTTTCTCATTTTCATAGGAAGAAAAAAGATTAGTAGACCGGTAGGGCCTCACACACCCACTACGCTACCAAACTATTAGTTGGATACATCTACAACCAAATCCCGACCCTTGCATTGAAATATACACTATCTCGTTAGGTAGGCGTCACTCTCATGTACCACTTTACATGTGTTCGGCCACCTACCTTAGTAGGTTGCCTTAGACGGGCCGAACACCCTTTGGATTGAAGGTCTCAATATATGAATCAATACTTCTCACCAAACCCAAGTGAAGGTTCAAATCCAGTGCACGATCGATACTGGCTTCATCAACAGCCCCTCAGTTATTTCAAACCGGGAATTGTGCCAACGCGGCGGTTGTCCCACACGGTGCACAAGAGATTGGACGTCAAGTTGCTGTAGTTTGCTGGATCCGAATCTATCGGAAGACAAACTAGAATTGAGTCAGCATATGGTTTTCTCCCGGTGGCAACCGACTTGCTATCAATATCCCAATGGTGAAGACTTATGTTCCGGTTTGTTTAGTCATCTGGCGTTGTTCTGCAGCACACATCAGAACCGAGTACTTGAAACAGTTTACTGCTCTGTTTTCAGTTCTTGGGAAACCATCACTTGATGTCCTTAGATAATTACAATGACGAAAAAAGTTCTCATCAACATTAGCAGTCATTTCACAATATAAGTGAACTGAGTGTAAGTGGTTGAACCATGTGAGTAACGCTCATTGGAATTTGCGATGATAGTGTAGGACTACACCGCAAGCGCAATGCACTCTCATAGCCGTCAGGCCGGCAGAGTAGATAACGAACATTTGATCACCCCTGAGAGTTATATTATTTGGATACATCAGATTCAAGGTGGTTAGTGAAAAGTCACTTCTGGTGTTAAAAATCACCTGAGTGAGTGGTAATCGTGTGTTCAGCATGCGGTTTGTACGCCTGTGAACCAAAGCAAAGTCAAGATATGCCCTACACCTATTTCTAGGTGGCTCGCTGCAGACTCTGGAGTATTGCTTTCTGGTGTTGATCTTGTATTCTGAAAGGCGATGAGCAAGAAACGCTTATACTAACGGAGATGAAAAATATTCATATACAAACTTCTGACCATAGAATTTCGTAATAACCTGTTTGGAGCTATACAAGGACATTAGCTCTATTTATATGTGGATCTATGACTTGACTGTGGTGCAACAAGCTAGGAACTTCGCGCACCACAGCACCATGAAACCATTGGTGTAGTGTGATTCGAAGATCAGTGAGCATCTAAACTGCCATGTCGCGTCTGGTTCAGACTGTGCGAGAAACGAGCGTACTACAAAGTGTGCACGTCCACTGATATTATTGAGCTTAGGATGACGATTAGCCATGAATTTCCTGAACTATTTCATACGTTTCGCTCGCGATCGTCTGCGTTTTTGCGTAGCCAGAAGTGGCGTTTGGGACATTTCAGTTTTTGAACTCACTGGTTCCAGTCTACAGAGAACTACTTACCCGAGCAACAGAATTCTTTCCACTTCTTTTTACCCAAAAATTGCATTTCATCTGGAGATAACGCCTAGCGTGAAAGTATGTTTGCAAATAATTACAGGTAGAGTATGCTATTTATGTTTGGACCTGTTGCATAGGACTGCATCTCCGACACAACACTTTGACAGCCTCTGTAAAACTCGAGCATGCAACGCGGTTGTCCTGCCACTTAATCTGCACACTGTGTTTCCATCATTCTCGTTTGATCAGTCCATCTGTTATCCTCGTGCAATTATTCTCGCGTCTACATCTGAATGGAAGCGCTGAGTCGAGTTTCGTTCTTATTATCGCTCATCGGCGGTACATATTATTGGCTATGCCTCGCGTTTTGGACTCCAAACCTCTGACGTGCTAGAAATACCTGCTTCCACTACTGCACCAGCGCAAATCAAACGCAGCTGATTTACGACCTCTGAACAGGCGAATATGTTCACGCTTGAGCGACGTAAGCTTGTATGCACTTGCATTTTGGCGCACGCATGAACGAATGCGAGGATATTGTCCCATTCATAAATGTGTATTTAGCAAGCAAGTCAAGGGCTTGCGCCGCTCGCGTGCGACGCTGCAACGGTGAAACTGACCTAATCGATCCGAAATTCGCTACAAGAATGAACTTGAACAAGCTTATACTGACTTACCAGCGGATGCGGACGGACAGGCAAAATTAATAAAATCGATTGGATTTTAGTGGAAAGTGTAGTTCAAATAAGCCATAAACTTAATGTCCAACCGACTTGCGGCTGGCTTCATCTAAAGGACTTGTAACGGAAGTGTAACCCAACTAAGCACTCAGTTTAGTTCAGAACGCGCCGGTGTGCTGTTTACTTCTTCAGTGTGACACAATATTGCAATGAGGTCATAGACTCTGGTTTCTCCCTATTTGGGCGGCAGTAGGAAGTGACAAATGCAGACCCCACTGAACGGGGTCACTAAAGTCGGGTAGTGGTCGGGTAACTAGTAGCGATCGGTACCTAGCACAGAGGACGATCTACAAATCAGTAAACTGCTGTTGAATCTAACCTGACATCATGATGAGTCACCCATTCATTTGCTTACTCGTGTACTGCCCGTGTACTTATTCATCTCCCCTTGTTTTGCGCTGCTCGCCGCATAGGCCGCCCGGTCGGACACTGTCATGGTAGCATGGACGTATGTGCGCATCACTGACCTGCTTACCCAAACGTGTTCGTGTACCGGCCGGCGGGCCTTCTTCAGCTTGTTTTGTTTATTTCCAAGAGTCTGCACCGCCAATCAGAATCATGATGCTGGCCTTGGTATGAACGACCCTAACCCCCGCTACCGAGCCATCACTGCGCTCACCCTTGTTTGGTGTGTCACTGCGCTGTGAAGGTCAGTGGCAGCCTTGCGCAGTTGTTGACGCCACGAACGCGGAAAATTGACGTTTTTTATAAATAGTACCGTAGACTCTCCAACCTGATTCTTCCGTTTGATATTCGGGGTCATCGTATCTACGCGTGACTCAAGGTTCCCTATCGGGAACCCAGACAACGGTATACTGACTTATGGTGCACATGCGCGTGGTCTTGAAATGCGAATCATAATCTGAACACCTGGGACAATCAGTAGTTTAGATCTGGGATTAATCAATAGCTCTTAACTGGTTTTCACTGGAGACTTATTTGAACCCCAGCAGATTCACTTTAAATGAATGCACTGCACAAGGGGATTATATTATTAAGAGTAAGGCGTTCGTAAAGTCGTACACGTACTCGAATCTCAAACAAGCTGAATCTCCCTTTACTAGTTTAATTCAACCGAATATGCTGCACAAAGACTGCATCAATCTCTAATGGGGATGACATTCAAGATATTGATGTATGTTTCAGTGCTACACATAAGGTCGATGGAAGCTCTGGACAGCCCAGCTCTGGTTTCATCCGTTTTGTGGCCCTTCCCGAGTTTCCGCAAAACTTATGTCCTGCTTGGACCAAAGTTGTACGGAATTCGTGAATCACACTCATCTGTAAATCAGTTTGGTTTTGCTCAGCTGAATCTCTCGTCTTTGGCACTTCTGTTTTAACTAAAACGTGTTCAAACGGTCGCCTCATGTTTCGTTTCGTACAGTATTCGAGATATCGAAGTCTAGACGCACTACTCATAAAATTGCTGAAAGCTTGGATGATTCACGGCGGGTTTCACCTTCTTAAGTCCCATCAGGTTAGCGCAGTCCCAGAGTTTACGCCAATTTCTGTTGGTTTTAACTGAATCCAGGCTGAACCCTTCCTTCGTGATAGTCTTCAACTTAGTTTGCTGCACGGAGACCGTCTTACGAACGATACTCAAGATCTTTAGCTAACGCTACCCAGTGATCCTGGAAATTTTTAGACATCTCATCACTAGTTACACCATTCTTTGAGCCCATCAGGTAGGTGCGGTACTCGAGTTTTCGTCAGCCGTATTTTCTTCTCCAACCCCCCGAAAACGACAACCAGCCATCGAAGAGATTTCAGCAACTCCATGACATTTGAGTCAAGACAGAGAGCTTAGGTTTCGCTTGAATACTGAACTACTTGAAGCTTTTGGATCTGAGTGCCCAGTTCATCGGGGAATTGTGGGCTCATATAAAATGCGGAAATATGTTCAACTTTCATGTAAACATCTACATCATAGATGGAACATTGTGACTACAAGTCTACATCATGCACTTGTAAGGATACTCTAGATGATCCCCTAGTTCAAGCCCAACAACTACGTGACTCAGTAAAAGTTAACTCCAAAGAAGTGCGCCTTGTATATTCGTGATGCACTACTCATGAGGTTGCTGAAATTCGTCGACAGCCCACGAACGGTTTTGCCCTTCTTGGGGCTCACCAGGTAGGTGCAGTCCCCGGGTTTCTGTCAACCTTACGTTCTACTTGGATCAAAATTGCACGAAACTAGCGAAATACACTCATTTGCAAACTAATTTGGTTTTGTGAGAGATTCACCTGGAACCCAGCTGAATCTCTCGTTTGTGATGTTCTCAGGCAACTGAATGTGCTGCATTCACCAGGCCGCCTCATGTTGCAATCGCTACGATATTCGAGATATCACGATACATGTATATATTTGTAATGCACTACTCACCTTGTGTGCTCCCGAGCGGTCAAAAAAAGACATACTAAGAGTATACACACTTATCACCCACTCACCTCTAATGATTTTAATACACTCCAAATTGTGCGGAAAGTAGTCAGGGTAGTTTGGAGTTTGAAACCGATATTCATCCCCTCGCTTCTGCAGCTTGGGAACATTAAAAAATCCGGGCAAAATTGAACTGGAAGGATCTTTGACAGCTGCCACTGACTGTGGGATGATAACCGAATTGATAAATTCCCCACACCGACTATCCTGATCCGACGGCGATTCACGATCCACCGCCTCGTATCTTTTCCTTCTCCAGTTCGGTTGCTGTTGTGTTATGTGTGAAGAAAGAGTAGAATTGAGCAAATATCGCTCAGGGATTGATGATTTTGAAGTGAGGTTGAAGGAAGTGACGTTGGTTATGGGTAACTGAGTATGAATACCAGCCGCAAGATATGTGAGTGCCATCCAGTTGAGCAGGTATGCTGGAAGGGTGTTGTGTGACAGTAACAGACACAGATCCATTGGCCCGAACATGTGTTATATCCGGTTAAAGGTTCACCGTTTGCCTATCATGTAGAGGAGATCCGGCAGATGACCAAGAAATGAGGCTAGCCATGAATCTGCGGAACGAAAAATGCATAGAAATTACTGATGCTAGTTAACAGATCATGGACAAATGCATCAGCTTGCTTCTTCAGAGGGGTTCGTACAGACAGACTATGCAAGTATTACCATGCGAAATGAGCATGCTGGTGTCTCATCACCTCTTAGATGAATTCACTTTGGGTCGCTTGGTGCAAAGGCTTTTGTTACTGTTGCTTGCGCCGTATGATTTTTGAGCTGGACACGACGGAAAAGAAGATACATCTGACTCCCTAATCAGAACTTTAGGATTTTGCATTGACGTTGGTTCGTGTCAACTAGTCATACTCTTCCGGATTTCGCTATTACTGCCATTCCCGTATATTCTCAATGGCGGATTTCGTAGGGAGTTCACGTGACTGACCCTCCGTTACGTCTGTACACCATATCTGTTTCATCTTTGTTTCTCTTTTGAGAAATTTGGCTAGATTAAGAGGCGGATGAGAGTGATCAGCGCCAGAGTTCCGCACGCTCTCCAGCTGACTAAACGTCATCTGACTAAGGTCACTCCTTTAGTTTGTGGTTCACACTGTGTCAGAGAGTGGACCGATGTCACAAACTTGGGTCCACATCTGCAGACTTTCTACTTGCTAGTTCGTTGTCCTCCTTGTAAGAACGTTTATTACTGCCCCCTAGAGCATTCCAAATCAGGTTCTTGATTCGTATTGTCCGATCGGATGAGATTAAACTGGATTCCAGGTGAGTCTCCCGCAAAACCAAATTTGTTCGCAAATGAGTGTATTTCGCAAATTTCGTGCAACTTTGGTCCAAGTAGAACATAGGGTTGACGGAGACTCTGGGAATGTGGCTATCTGATGAGCCTCAAGAAGGGCGGAACAGGTCATAGGCTGTCGAAGAATTTTCAGCAACCTTATGAGTAGTGCATTGCGTCTGTACACTGAGATGAGCCTTACTAGTTTCTTATCCGTGCGTATGGTCTTCATTATGTTTTTCCGTCAAACAGAAGTCTAGTCTTAAGTGGTCAGGTGTCTTAATCCTCGCAAGGCGCTCGTGCTGCATCACGAAGTTAAGGCTGGAATTAGTAACCGTTCTCCAGCAGAACAGCTGACCTCTCAAATCGCTCTTAGTTGGAGCGCAAAGCATTGACCTGGATTGGGTAACTTGAGACAAATCTTGAATACTGCTTTCTAAAACGACCTCACTTGTGCTCAGAGCTTAGAGCTACCTTTATGGATCAATGATAGTTGGTCTTGTTTGGAAAAATAGCCGGTCGCAAAACCAATGGTCTCAAGTGACTACGGCAGTCATTTGCCCTTGAATTTCAGCATGGATGTCCAGGTCTCCGCAAAAATGTGCAACTTTGATAGCTAAGTGTTTGAATGTGTGTATTTGCCATAGGCTCAGGGGTTGTGAACTGTCTCGCTGTCAAGCGCCGGTCCAAGTGCCTCTCTACAATGATGGACATAACAGAAACGGTAAAAATGGAAACTTGGCTTGTCTGTCTATCCAGGCTGTTGCCGTATAACGTTTACGGAGGATAGGTTATCCCACCCCTACGACATTTGTGTGAAGTGATCTTCCGAAACACAGGAAGGAAGCAAACGTGTTTATGATTATAGAACAATCACCATTGGAGCGAACCGGTTTGGATTAAAAGCATTAGTGAAAGTTCCGCGCCCCTTGTTTGCCACACCAGGGGCATCTACTCCCCAATGACAGCTAGTACTTGTGGATGGAAATTCCACTGTCAGATGCTATTTGCACGCAAGCCTTATGCTTGCAGGCTGTTGCCGTATAACGTTTACGGAGGATAGGTTATCCCACCCCTACGACATTTGTGTGAAGTGATCTTCCGAAGCACAGGAAGGAAGCAAACGTGTTTATGATTATAGAACAATCACCATTGGAGCGAACCGGTTTGGATTAAAAGCATTAGTGAAAGTTCCGCGCCCCTTGTTTGCCACACCAGGGGCATCTACTCCCCAATGACAGCTAGTACTTGTGGATGGAAATTCCACTGTCAGATGCTATTTGCACACAAGCCTTATGCTTGCTTGTGCAAGCATAAAGCGCATGCTTTTTGAATGCGCTTGCTCTCTCCCTCTCTCTCTCTCTCTCACACACACACGCACACATGTATCTGGTTCGGATCAGAGCACTCAGGCCCGCGGAATACTGAATGTCACTCAGCAGTAGACCGACGAAAATACAACTCGCGATCTGTGACAGTTGGAAAAGTCAGTGATGACATGAAAAAGCCTTGGTCACCAAAAGTTTGTGCACTGTCTTCCAAGACGGCTGTCATTTCCTGCCCGCGTTTACGACCGATGTAACTTATTCTCTGAGTGGAATGTTGACGGTATGGGATCCGGGCAATTACACGTAGATCAGAAAGTATGTATCGGATGTCAAACTTTTGACAGATTCTAATTGGCAAGGTGGCACTCACTTGAAGGTACAGAAAACGAAACGGAATGAAAGAACGCGACTTCGAGAATGCACAAATGGGCTTTAGCGGATCAAATCTCACGATGATTGGATCCATGGTTAACATCACTACTTGCCTAAAACATTTCTGTCACGCCTAGGAACGGGACACTCATCCAATCCGCTTATAACGCCACCGAAAATTCTGATTTTCGAAATGATGCTGATATTTCCCATAAACCAAGCTAGCAACAAGTTCTGCAACAAACACTGCCCTGCCAAATATAATGACCTTCAACGGGAGAACATGCAGAGGGATGTACGAAAATGCACTCTGGTCGGCTGTCACCGTCGGACAGTTTAAACAAAGTGCTTTTCGCAAAAAAAAACAGACTATCATGTCTCTAAGAAGCGGAGGCAAATCCAAGATAACTTGAACCAGTGTTTCCATGCCCACGGCGACCGCTACACAGAATATTCTTAAAAATCACACCCTCTTACGTCAATCCTCAGAGTTTGTGAGCTCTCCTGTACGGATAGCATGTATTGATTTTGTATGATTTTTGTATACGAGCTCCCTATTGACAATTGAATGCAGTTGTTTCAAGCAACGATAGGGATGGGATACAAAAAATTGTGCACTGTAAATTTGTGGAACATGTTTTTGGTTATATCATTCCACCTAGTCAATTGTAAGATTTTCGCGACTATAAATAAACGAAAAGGGCATAAAGTGACACACACAGAATAAAAATACTTCGATGCTGACCAGCCAATGCATCTGACATTCTGTAGCTATTTCACCCCTGTTTGTATACTGTATTCAGTAAGCATATTTTGCCGGTACGGCCTCCTCTGAATCGCGAAAAAACTGTTTAAAATCATTCTTTTTGACATCGTTCTCATCGATCAACCACTTCTGACGGGATGATCTGTTTTACGGCTGAATAAATTGACTTGCAGTTCAAATATTCTAAAGATTGATCAGCCTCTTCTCCATTTATTTTCCCCATTACATATGGATTAAGTGGGATTGAGTTTCACGCAACATTGTTGGTATTCAACAAATGAATACATCACTCTTCTATTTCGGTTGAAACGTCCCACGTCCGTCTGTACTTTAGCTGCCGTAACAAAAGTCGTACTATCTGAGCTGGGCAGATAAACTGAGTAGTTTCGTAAAAACAGTAACTGGTTCTGACCACAGAAGGCCGAGGTTTTTTCCTTATAAGGATGTGGTCATAAATATAGAGGATAGAACCGATGATAAACCATTACCAGTCTACTCATTTATTGGTAAGTAGCATGTTCACCGCTGAAACCAATGAACGGGCTAGATTACCACTGACTGTTATTAAATTATCGTCGCGTATTGATTTTGGAGTTCAAATTCCTGGCATCCAAAGTGAAGAATCTTTATTCCCCCTAAATGTCTGACAAATTCCCCAAGATTTATCATCACAATGAAACTGCTGCAAAATCTGAACCCAGACCAATTAGCCAGCAGAGCAACGAAGCTATAGCAACGAATGAAACTACGCATGATGGCTCGAACGTTTGATTGAGCTTCCATCTTGATCCGTAAAACGTTGTCTCCCGTTTTGGCAACACTCAATGATGCAAACTTCCGAAGTAGCACCATCCACTAGTGAGGAATTGTCATAAGATTGGTTAATTACCAATGGGAGTAGATTTCACCCAGACAAGATGGAGTCAAGTTTTATTGTGGTCACAAGTTCATATCCGTTTAGCGCTTCTTGAGATGTGCATTGACGCTGCTTGACAGTTAGAGTGAAACATCTAAGCACTTCTTCATGATTCTTCAATGGGGAGCAGTTCAAATTTCAGGAAAACCCACGAGCGAAATTCCTAATCACCTTAGACCTCCGTTTATATAGAATTCTACTAATCACCGCTATCGCTATGCTGTTAAGATGCAATCTATTCCTAATAAAAGGGCATTTTTCGGTTAGTCTCTTGGTCTTGTTGGGTGTCACGCTTGCAGTTCGTTCGTAGTGTCCGGCAATACAAGCCCACCTTTTCTTCATGAACTTGCTACTGTTCACATTTGTATACCTTCTGCGAAAAAAGATAAGATGCTTTGAATTATCATCCGAAGGCGTTCTTCTACTGCTTAAGAGGTGTAACAGCTCAGTTTTTTCATAATGATGACCGGTTTTAGTAGATGTGCAGAATTCACAACAGTCGTGGAATGTGCGTCAAAAGTTGGAGAGCCACTAGACGGTAGAAGATCTGACGAATGCTTACTGTGGATAAAATTGTTACTGTGACACTTTCAAACTACTGGCACCCGCCTGTAGGCATCAGATGTTTCTTTTTACTTCAAGAGCCCTGGTGAGCCTGAGTCTATGATCGAATGACGGTGCTGTGTAGCTGTTCCCCATGCTAGTCTGAATGCGGGTGACCAAGAACGGCTCGGAGAATATCCGTGCTGAACTGATTCATCTCACGGACACAAGATTTTTGTTAAGGAGGCTGTCATAGTGCGCTCGAGATTCGGCGACCGAGTGTTTTGAAAGGAAGTGCAATGTCATGACACGAGCCAAGTTTTGTTTGATGATATGTACGTACGCGACCATGTTAGTAGTAAGGAATATCTCCAGGGCATGTTATAAGAAGCCACTGTGATTCACATCAGAACTACATAAAACCAGTACCATCTGCTTGTGTAAAAGGTACCGAAGAATTTCCCACCCCCTTTTACAAACTATGTTTCCGAACAAAGTTTGAAACTCCATCAGTATTCACCAGTTTCAGGTGTGATCGAGTATGGGGTCAGGTGACCTACCTGACCATACAGTCAACTGATGAGTAGTTTTGGTGTTCCTTCTAAATCATTCCGCAGTTGCAATCTTTCGGTGCACTGCGCCGGGGCTGAGAAACTTTCAGATCGCCCCGATGCTAGATAGACGGAATCTGTAAGCAACGGATGGGACTTCTTGGTCATCAGCTTTATGCCTAAGTGGGGGGTTGGTCCTGCAGTGATTTGCAAAAAGCCTAAAACTTGTTACTGGTTAAATGAAAAATGCTACCATCTTGCGACAAAAGTTAATGTCAGGCATATGAGAAGTGAGCTGGAGCAGTCCGCATAGCAGAAGCAGATAATTCCCCACTTAAAATTTACCATGTTTTGATATTTTTTACTAGGCGATGGCCTCTTTCCTAGTAGCCCAACCGTTGAAGCCTATCTACTCTAACCCGAGGAAGTTTATCAGCTTTAGTTAGGCCCGTATTTAGCCTCGTAATTCACATCCGTAGTAACACAAATTGGTCTCATGAGAACTGAGGCTGAGACTCAATTATTCCGCGTAATCAGCATATGCTCCAGGCAATCACGTTTCGTGGTACACCAGCTGCTGCCCCGTGTCAGCACACTCACGTAACCCGTTTGGGTTTGTCAACAACAGCGCCAATCGGCCTGCACGCCACCTGAGGCTATTGTCTTGTTTCTAGCTTGTTTGAATGATTTCATTTTGATGACACTCGATCAGAAGAACTGACAATCTTAGAAGTTGCGCGAATGTTTTTAACCAGTGTCCCATTCCGGGAGGCTTGTTGTAGAGAACCAAAACGGGAAAGTGTATATATCATTATTCGATTGCTCAGTATTCGTAGGCAGTCCTGTTTGGGGCTCATTAGCTAGCCGTAGCACCTGGAAGCTGATGCAGTGTTACGTTACAGTTTCCGTCATCGAAAGGTAGAAAGCCAGGGTAGGTCTGGCTTGGCATGGGGGGCGATCGACTTCCCTGATAAGGTGGATTGCGGAGTACTTACGAGTTAAAGAGGTTGACTCTGATGCTCGAGCGGCACTGAATATGCAACTAAGCCGCAACTGACTACCGTTATATGCTGCGATCCCGCGAAGTCAGAGAGACGACAGTGGTCAACCCGATTGAGTTTAATGGTTAGAGTTTTCACACTTCGCAGGAGGTCATGAACCCTCCGATCCTAATTGCACCGGAACGGGGAGAATGAGCTCTGGATGGTATACGGTCCCCTGAAACAGACTACTTGCCCACAAAAAGGTAAACCATGAAGCTCGGTTAGCTCATTCACCTTAGGAAGGTCCCTTCTGCAAAAAACTATTTGGTACACCTCCGCATTACTGTGAAATATGACTTCAACTAATCGCGTGATGAAATCTCTGGCTGGAAACTCGGTTCTCATTTGGTTCTGTCGGAAGTAAAGGTCTTTTGATGTTTCAAATCGGGGGTAGTTTCTATTATCTTCGTGTAATCAGATAAAAAAAATAAAGCCAAGGTATGCAGTGAAATTCATATGCAGGGACTGTTGCTCCGACATAATAGGGTTTTATCGGGTTGTCTTGAATTCTTTGTAAACCCGGGCAAGGTTTGTGGTATTGTCCATCCCCGCGTCCAAACCTTCATCGTTCAGTTAAATTTTCGTGACCGGATTTCGTCAAATCTTGGATAACAGACAGACCAATTACGAGCAACTGACACACGTCGGTGGCGTCCTCTCGAAGTAAAGCTTCAGCGGCTGGGTTTACAACGAAGGTATTGTATGTGTTAAACAAACTCGAGGCCCGACAGATTACGATTTCCCTGCAATCTATTGATCACAACAGACAGGTCTCTTTCTCAGCGATTTCGCTGAAAGTTGTAGCTTGAAGTTCTGAATTACATGAAATGCATGCATGCATGAATGGATTCGATCCCAGAATGCATTCCACACCAAAAACCTTTGAGGGATAGCGCATCGGTAGACCTGCCAACTGTGGGCTGCAGCATCCGCTATCCTCCATCGGAATTGAACACATAAGAATCTGGTTGTGTTGGTTGCCCCTTACGTGATCAGAACGAATCATCGAGTCGATCAGTCTGAGTTATTTTATCAGGTATGTACTGGCCCACAGCTCATGCGACATCCGACAGTTCTTTCTGAAGGGGACGACAACCAACTGGGAAGTAAGGCCCACAGGCTACGTTTGCCACGGAAGTTCCCCGGTCATGTGCCACCAAAACCACCGAAAACTAATGCAAAAGTTTCCGTGGTTCAGTGAATAGTCCTGATAACATACCGGTCAGTTGTACATCCACTTGGACTGCCTATTTCTGTTTCCATTTCTAGCCTGAGGGTGTCTTACGTTTCAAGTCAAAAGTGCCCCAGTCGTCTTGTGGAAAAGGCAGAATATTGCCAGTAATCAAGTAAGTAATCCATTGAAACAGCATCTTGGACTAGATGGTTGTTTATGGACCCCAAGTTTTATCCTCATATACCCTCAAAGTCAATTAGTTCGAATGGAAAATAGCTGGGCGAAGAGCTGGTTGAAGCCGTGAATCTCCTCACCAAATTTAAAACCTGAGCGTATTTTGAGCAGCCCCCACAACCTCTGATAATAGACAATGTTCTTGTAGGCACTGCTGTCAGTGAAGAAGGCAGACGGTCCTTCTATTCCGATCTGTCTAGTCATTGCACAAAAGTCCCTTTAACCATTGCAACGCCGGGAACTTTACCACCCAGCTTCGGTTGCAACCAGGGGATTCGAATTGAATTTGAAAGTCAACGGCCTTCAGTTCGATATCCAAGACCTGCCACTTGTTTCCTCTTAAGTATACCCGTGGTAAACGGATTCAAACTAGGTATGAAAAGATGTAACTCTCAAAGTCACAGTTAGACATGACGAAGTAATTTATCTGAATTTTGAAACCGGTGGCATTTGAAAATAAAACTTTGGAAGAAATGGTGAAAAACAAGCAAGATTTTTCCCATTTCCTCATCGAAATAAACTGTGATAATTATCTGTCCAGTTCTGCTCATCCTTCCAGTACAGTAGTTAATGAACTCAAGGTATATATTGAGTAAACGCGACTAAGCCACGAGTAATTCTAAGAAATTTTTATTGTTTGACGAACTTTCTTCCTGGGCGAATCAATTAACACGCATAATTATGGCATTATCACTGTGAGGTGTTGCCATTTTTGGTGGATTCGTCTCTTCCAACATGCGTCCATTCGTGGTTCCATGAAGTAAGCATAACTTCGAGAGATACACTCATTTGCAAATCAATTTGGTTTTCACGACAGACTCAACCGAATCTCTCGTTTACGATATTCCACAACTGAAAGTGCTGCACACAGGCCGCAGTTTGGGTTCAAGTAGATCATAAGATTGACGGAAACTCGGCGACTGCGCCTACCTGATGAGCCCCAAGAGGGGCGAAACCGGTCGTGGGCTGTCGAAGAATTTTCAGCAACCTTGTGAGTAGTCTCCTTCATGAAAGTAAACACAACTTCGTAATTTTGCCCTGACCACGACCATATTATTGAGGTCAAGGTATGTGGCATTATCGGGTGTGTACAGAAATTCCGCCTCAACAGCCATGACTACAGAACAGTACGGTCATAACAAAGCCAAATGGTGTTGTCACCGTGCGTTTGGTACAACAGAGAATAACGCTTTTGTGTATATTGGGACAGGCAGTACCGATGGGCAGTAAGTACTCCCGGTGAGAGGAAAAAAGCTCTCGCTGTGGAGTTTTGTTAGGAAATGCCAACGGACTAGTTACAGACTTTTGGACAGGGAAGCAAAACTATCATTTGCATCTTATTTACAAAAACTGGACATCCATCTTCTCCTGAATGCGTCTGCTTGAACGTTGCTGGATATTCATTGACCCCAATCATCCACTGCTCAAATCCAAGAAAATGCTGCAAAGCGACTCCACAAAGTCCGCAACAGATCTCCCTTTTCAAGAGACGCAGAGTGAATTTACAAGAACAAATCATACTACTCTCATGCCTCTCCATCAGTAGTATCACCGTTACACCGATAGCACACAAAGTTGATTGGCGGGGGCTTTGAGAAACGACGGCTGAACTTCGCCATAGCTCGAGTAGATTAGTGTCTATCAATTGAAAGAAGGGATGCCCAGATGGAAAAAGTAAGAATAACAAGACTCTGCGGCTTTGAATGGACAGAACCGAGACAGTAGTTCCTTGGATCTTGAAGTTTACTGCACTATGCCTGATGAACCCTGGACTGGTAAGTATAGTTGAACCGATACACAGAGTCCACTGCTCTCTTTCATTTAAGGCTTTCTGCGGCTTCATCACGCTAGTAAAGATGCACTCTGATACTTGAAAATTTTTGGTGTGGAACAGTCACACTCACTTACATACCAATCTGGTTTTCATGAGGGACTCACCTGAACCCTAGCTGAAGGACTTTTATAAACGAGAGGTTCAGCTTGGGTGCGCCTCCAACGAAAACCAACTTGGCTTGCAAATGAGCGTATTTTCGGACTTGAGGTTCTGTGAGTTTTAGTAGAATATACAGTTGACAGAAACTTGGAGAATCGACCCACCTGAACGGTACCAAGAAAGGCGAAACCTGTCATACGCTGCTGGAGAGCTTTCAGCAAGTGGTGAGTCCATACTAAGGTTAAGCCTATGATTTTTGAAAGATGGGAAAAGGATTTAGTCCCTCAGTACCCATGACTCCTGGTTTTGTTGTCAGGATTTCGAAAATTTATTGTTTTCTCTCGAACACGAGGCCCTCAAACTGCAAGTTTATATCTTAGGTCGACCCACACGGGTTGAATATTCCTACTCGGTTGAGTCTCTCGTTACCACCAGTCGGATTTGCAAAACAGTGCAGTTCGACAACTGCGTCCGAGTGTAGTACAAATCTGATGGAACCTCGGGAAATGAACCTGGCTAATGAAACCAAGGAAGGTCAAAACTGGCTGTCAAACAGTTTTCAGCAACCCTATGAGATTTGTCGTCCGTCAAGACAATTTGTTTCAAGTGACTTAGATGTTTACATTTGTAATGCACTACTCATAAGGTCGACAGCCCACGACCGGTTTTGCCCTTTTTGGGTGCTCATTAGGTAGGTGCAGCCCCCGGGTTTCCGTCAACCTTATGTTCTACTGGAAACCAAATCGTACGAAATTAGCGAAGACACTCAGTTGCAAACTAATTTGGTTTTTCGAGACACTCACCTGGAACCCAGCTGAATCTCTCGTTTTTTGATGATGTTCTCAGGCAAGTGAATGTGCTGCATTCACCAGGCCGCCTCATGTATACAAGACATCGCGATGCATGTATATACTTTCAATGCACTACTCTTAAGGTTGCTGAAAATCCATCGACAGCCCACGACCGCTTTCGCCCTTTTTGGAGCTCATCAGGGAGATGTTACCTAGCTTTTCCCTATCTGGTGGAAGGAAAGTGCCAAGTGGTCCAGTTGCTTGGGCATCTCAAATAGTTGCTTATCGGTTGTCTTCTGCCATATTTTCCTGAATTTTTCTGTCAAGATTTTTAATTGACGAAGCCCTGGGATATTGAACCACACTAATTTTTCAATGTTCAAATGACCGATGTGTCTGCTCTGAGTATCCAAGCCTTCAGGATCTGCAGGACGAATTCGACCATATTCTACCTGACCCTCGTCTGTTCACTGGATGTGAGTTTGTAGATGTACTTGGTCAATGACATTTCGACGTGTTCAACCATTCATGCAAGGTCAACTTCGGTTTGTGAATTCACAACATTTTTAAAAGATAAATTATAACAATCGGGTTAGCCAGACATGAGTTGCCGGAAATATGTTTATTGTTGCCTGTCATGAGGTTTATGATCGATTCTCAATTTCAACTCTATATTCATGCTCAACTATCGTGACAACCATTGTCTGACTTGGCTGACGCACAGGGAGAGAAATCGTCGATCGTATTTCGTTATTTAGGTCTACTGAATTTGTCCACCATTGAAGCGAGCCCCAGTGGGATGAAAAAACCGTTTGGTACCCCTAAATTCCTGGTCTTCTTGATGCCTTCATTTTCCCATCTCTACTCAACGTTCCATCTCTATGAAAGATGCCTACTTTGAGTCTTATTTTCTAGAATTCTATCAGGGACTCTAAACTTCCGGAGAATCAAACGTTTCCGTCAGAGAGTCGTCGGGCATTCCACAGTATTCAGCCCAGTTTGTTCCGTTTAAAACTGCCGCTAACAAAACAGGGCAGGCAGAATATGTAAGTCATCTTTGCACACAGAGCAGCCGGAATGTTTGACGGCAAATATACCTTGCTTCGTGAATAATCCTTTTTTGTCAGTTAAATAGGAATCTTTGAAACATCGCCAGTTTGAGGACGGTACATAACTTTTACATATTAGTAGCACGTTGCAAACTACAGAGCTCTCTGTGTACAAGAAATAATTTGGGCTGTATTTATGAGCCACACGCTAAGTTACTTCTAGTAATACATTCTACGTTCACGGCCTACTCAGTGCGTAATGCATAAAACAAGAGTTGTTAGGAATAGCAGATATTTCAAGCCATACCTACAATGTAATAACAACTTAATCTGAGAACAAGAAATGTTTCAAGCGTTTGTAGTGGACAATGCCTAAATCCTGAGTAAAACTGCATTTACGGTGAATGAATGAACTTAAAATAAGGATTGCTCGAAAAGATGGAAGTATTCAAGCAAACCATTTGAAAAGAGATGTTAGTGGGGTATCTTTATAGCAATTTCAACCTTATACTAACCATTACTGACAGCGACACACCAGCTGCAGTTAGTGGGGCTGGAGCGTTACACAGAAGAGGAGTCATCCGTGGCAGTCGGAAAAGATCTGACGGTTTGGTAAAGAAATGACTTGGGAGGCACTAGTGGTATAAAACTTTCCTTACTGTAGTGAATAAAGTGGTCGGGACGAACTGGCTCAGTGGTTAGAGCGCGAATTTATTGACCGGAAGGTCTATGGTTCGAACCCGACCTCTGCCTCCCAACTTCCCCTGTGCAGCCTTGGACAACCTGGAAGTATGCCAGCCCTCGTGCTTTCTTCGGGTGGTATGGCAGCTAGTCACCGAAAGGGCTGAACGAATAAAGCGATCACACTGATTTCTTCTCACAACAGTCAGTGTTGCGTGATATAATATTTATTAGTCTAATCAAGTGGTCCCTAACCTATTTATTGTTGCGCTTTAAAAAAGGGATTTCCAACGGGTTTCCGCTGAAAAGATTTTTCCGCCGTCAAACCAAAGGCGATGTTAGAGAAAAACTTTTCGGACAGATATACTAACTGGCAATGTTTACTTGATAAATTATAAACCAGCGTCTCGAATTAATCTAATTCTCTGTCTGCGTGAATCTATCCATTTGTGAAGTGAATCTTCCAGTTCCTAATTAGTATAAGTACTCAACACGTAGTGAAATGTACACATTTGTTAACTAACCCCATGCTAAGGAGAGATGAACATGAAGTGGTTGTGCATAAAATGTCATGATATACAAAATACTGTAGTATGTTTTCTTTACATGACACATAAGTCACTGGGTTGCCTTAAATTCTTCGAGTCGATTTCGCCACCTACGTGCAATTTGGTTTTCATGTCGAAATAAGGGTTTATAATAACCCGGGGACTTCAGCCACTGAATAAGCCCTGAAAAAGGCGAGGCGGTTTCTTACCTATCGAAGTTTTCAGCAACCTTATAAGTAATGCACCATGTTTGAAGGGCATTTCTGACAACATGCTTGAGCTAGTTTCAAATCAAAAAGTTGTATCCAAAAAAGCAACAAGGATTCATCTGTGAGGTGTACACAATGCAGGCTAGCTTGACAACTTGAAGTTGTAAGTTCATCAAAAAAGCTCTTCTTGGCTTGATTTTGCTTAAACGAAAAGATAAAGCTGCACAATAAGCAATTCATAGATGCACCCAAAAACAGATACCAGGATGGTGAATGTGGAAAACGTTATTTTACACTCAGTTGGAAAAAATCCCCGGCGATGCGTACGGACCAAAAGTGTGAATAGTAATGATCAAATGGCGAGAAAAAAGGGTGTAGGAGTTACTGATGGAGGCAACCAAATTCGTTCATTCGTTTTTCTGCATACAGCAAACAGAGCGCGCAAGCTGAGGGTGCATTTTCTAAACCGATTGCTGTTCGGATGATTATCTTGACATTACTAGGATGTCCCCGATTCGTTTGAAGAGCCATCTGGATCCAAAATTAAACTGCTCAACCTGAATATTTTACCACAAATTAGCATTGGTTGATGTCAAGTAACAGCCACACGGGTTCAAATCAGTATATGTTCAGCATCATAATAGATATTTCGCACGATGCCAGTGGATTGATTTGATATGCTTGGTACG